CCGAGCCTCGCCCCTGCACCAGCCTGCGCCCTTGCTCCCTGCTCTGCGCCCGACGTGCCTCCTGCGCCCAAATCCCACGCAATCATCACTCCTGCACCTGCTCTGCACCGAATCTGCATCAATCTCCAGCTCTGCACTGCGCCAGCCTTCCTCTGCACCAAATCCCCTTGCCGCCTGCAATCACGCCCCTGTTGCTCGCACGCCCCCTGCTGCTACAGCCGACTCCGCCTCCCTTTTCTTCTGCAACAAAATCTCTCTGCGCCAACAAAATATCTCTGCGCCGACTTTCTTCTGCAACCAGATCCTGCAGCCGCAAAGATAGATCTTGCGCCCCACGTGCAGCCAACTGAGCGTGATGGTAGACCAGCATCCTTTAGGGTTTCTGTTGATCTTTGTATAAATAGGAGAAGATTGTTGAGTTACAGGGGGTTTTCGATTTTCTCCTTCTGGGTTTCCTCTTCTTTTGTCAAAAAAAAAAAAGAGAAGCAGAAGACAGAAATCCGAAAGAGGGAGAAGGTTTTGGGTTGTGTGGTTTTAGTGTTGCCGTCGTCGGAGTATTTTGTTTTCTGGTGTTGCCGGCGGAGAAAAGGGAAAGTTTTCCGTTGAAAGGGGCTCGATTTTCGTACCGGAGGTTGACGGAGGGCTTGTTCGCTGTGTCTGCTTCTGTCTATTTAGGTAAACCTTTGAACAGAGGAGTCTTTTCGGGGAGGCAGTGAGGGGAATGATCTGGGCTTGATCCCGTGGGTGGGATCCGCCAGATCGGACTCCGATCTGTTACCCAGAAAAGCCCCGCCGTGTTTGTTTCTTTTGTCCTCCTGTTTCTGTGATCTGCTTTTATGATATTTATGTTTGTAAGTGTTTACTGAAAATCAATGAAAGATAAAAAAAATGTTTCAGTTTATTTTGTGTGATGATTGTGTTTCCCTTTTTTTCTGTTAATGAATGTTTCATTTTATTTTATTTTTATTTGGAATGAATGTGTTCTTCTTTAAAACAAAAAAAAAGGGTAGAAAGGAGATGAACCAGACTTGTTCTGTTTGGTGTTTGATCTGTTTTGCTTATTATGGGTCGATGGGTTGTGTTTTTGTGGGTCGAGTCAACCCGACCCAATCTAACAAAAAAAAAACTAAAAAGGTTAAAAGGTAAAAAATACATATTTTATTGATTAATTAGGGGAGTTAGTTTAATTTATGATTAATGAAGTTAATTAATTTTAATTAAAATAAATTAATCATATTTATTGAATTTGATTTGAGATAATTGGATAATTTATTATCTCAAGTTAATGATTAGTAAATGTGATTAATTAATTTTAATTAATTTTAATTAATGTTAAATTAATTATTCGATTAAACTAATTATCTTGATTAATTAATTTTAATTCTCAATTAACTTTAATTTTGGTCAAAGTCAAAGATATCTTTCATTTTATCTCAATTTCATCTAGAACTTTCATGATTAAGCAATTCAGTCCATGGGTTTCAACTCTTTTCAAATTAGTCCCCTTAATTTTTACTTGTGTTCATTGTGCATGTATGTCTTTGATTTTGTCCATTTTAGCCCAAGAATTTAAAAATGTCACAATTTGGTCTATCCCTTTTTTAGGCTTGCCTATTAAGACTCAAACATAAATATGATGAATAAGTTGAATAAAAACCCCCAATGTTAAAGTATGCAACCGTGTTTAAACGGAGGATTGTGAGCTGCGCGTATGCCCTTTCTCACTCCTAACCGAACCCCCGAGTCCCGATCTCTGTGCAGACCCGTTTTAGGTGACTTGTCCCACCTTATAATTTGGACGAGTGGTGACTCCCTTTTTCTTATATTTTTCACACTTGATTTTTCATTTGTTTTGAAAAAATCTTAAGTGGTCGTCAACAGTATCAAAATCCAAATCAACCATAATACCACAGCACAACCCAAAATCAACAACAATTAATAACAGATCTCACCAACCCAAATTCAACACAAAATCAACAAGAAAATTCATGATTAACAGTGACTATCACAACCCAAAATCAAAACAAAATAAATGAAAAATTCCACGATTAACAGCAATTGCTCCAACACATTCTGGGTTTGGGTGATTCCATGATTGGGGGAAGAAAGCAACTTTGGGCAATTTTGGGTTCGGCATTTTCGGGCAATTTTGGGCGATTTTGGGTGTAGGATTTTGTGGGTTTCGGTGAAAATGGCAAAGAAAGAAAGAAAGCCAGAACATATAGAGAAGAAGGGTGGAGACGAGGAGCAACCGATTGGGTGAACCGGTGAAGATGGTGCGTGATTTGGGTGAAGAAAATCAAGATGATTTTCAACAATTTCAGGCGATTTTGGGTTCAGCAAATTTGGGTGATTTTGGGCAATTTTAGGCATAGGTTTTCTGGCGAAGATGGTGAAGATGGTGAAGAAAGAAAGAAAGACCGAAGGTGAGTGAAGAAGAGGAACAGCTGGAAGGGTGAACTGGTGAAGACGGTGAAGACGGTGAAGAAGGGCAGGGCAGGGGCTCCGTTCTGTGGTTCAGGGAAAGTGACCATGAGGAAGAAAGAAAAGGAAATAAAAGAAAGAGTTAAAAAAAAAATTGTCCCACTTGTCTAAAAAAATTAATAAACAATAAGTTGGATATTTGACCGTTAGTAATTAACCGGTCAAAATTAACGGAAGTGTGGATGGCATCCCATTAAGGATGACATTGAACAAAAAATGTGTAGTAGAGGGGTGACATTTATACTGTAAGGAAAGTAGAGGGATGACATCGAACATTTCCTTAGTAGAGGGACGGTAACGAACAATTTCACAAAGTACGAGGACTACAGTTGGTTTTAACCCTTTAAAAATTGATAGATCATAAAAACAAATTAAA